CTCTGCTTGGTTGCCCTCCTGCATTCTTGAAGGAAAGAATGCATGAGTCGGGGGCCAACATTTTCTAAAGAAAAAACATATGGTTGTTTTTCATACGGGCCAGGGATATATACAAAGAACAGCTAACTAAATACAACAATCAGTCCACTGATTCGTTTCTTTCCGAACTATTTATCTAAATCACTAAATAGATAATTTAAAAAAAAAATAATTAAAAACCCCACAGGAACACAGCTTCTAATTAGAAACATCACATTTTGATTTTGGTTTTATTGTGGCAACGCACCATTCTTACCAACCAAATCAAGAGACGGTGGTTGCAGTTTATTTAAACAGTAGTCCTGGGCTGCTAGCAGGTTTCCAGATGTGCTACTCCACATCCCTGCAACCAATAAATAAAAGGAGGAGGACTGTTGGAATGCTAACATTTGCTCCAGAAAATTGCTCAGAGTTAAAGACAGGGATGATAAAAGCGGCTACACCAGTTCTTGTCATGGTGCCAGAACTGAATGTTTACCCAGTGCTGCGTCCCCACCAGATGGGGGTGAAAAAAAAATTTAGAAAGTCTCTTTTCCCAACCATTTTGCCATGAAGAAGGGTATAGCACAGCAAAACCAATGATTTATGGGGTAGAAACAGACCCATAAAGACACATTCAAATAGCTGCATGTAGGTTTCTTGGCGTTTATGTTAGCAGACATTTTGGGGGAGCATCTGCAATCTAAACTCTATCATGTTATTCCACAGTCCATCATTTTGCCTGTCGTTATATTTATAATTCACGCATTCTGGTCTCGCAGCTTGTGCTGCAAGAGGGGCTCTAAATTGGGATGGCTGAACTTTAGGGTTGAATCATGTTTTATTTCTTGACCGAAACCACAGGTGTACAGCTCTGGAAGATGCTGAACGTTCCTAGTGTTGGTTGCTTTGCGTGTCTTTGTCACTCCCCGCTGCCCAGAGCGGTGGTGCGGGAGCTGAGACCCAGCAGAAGTTAGAGCAGGGTGGAGGTGCAGAAGCGAGGGAAGAGTGATGGCAAAGCAAGGTTGAAATCAAAAATCTTTGTGCAGACTGGGCATGAAGTGGGCTGCCTGGCCACAAATCACCCAGCCAAGCGCCACCAAACGTTTTATCATTGTTTTCCCTCCCCCAGAGTGGAGCGAAGACTCTCTGCTGACCCAAGGTCTACCCTGAGGACTGCGTGGAGGATTAGCAGGCGAGGCCAAGGAATAGCTGGGCCAGAGCCAGGATGATGCATATATCATGACTGACTTCTCCGGGCCTGAGGGAAGCTCTTGCTTGGGAAAGGATTTTTCCAACAACTGCCTGAATTTCCATCGCTGGTGCATGTGGTCCCACCAGCGGTCCCCGTCTGACCTGCCCAGCATGCTTATGAGCAGCTCAGCTCTTAATAACTCAACAACTCCTCTCATGCAGGCTGCTGCTTCGCAATGTCCTAATCCTTCACCTGCTGCAAACAGCCTCAGTGTACGTGCTGCCAATACACGCTATAAATCCCAGAAGGCGCTGAGGATGAAATAACAGCCAGTACGAAGGCGTCTGCCCCTCCTGAGGCCACGGATTGTTTTCAGTACATTGTTTTTCAGACACCTCTAGATTAAAATAATGAAAAATTAAAAATCCTTCTTCTTCTATCAACTTCCCCACGCACAGGCTAGGCTAACACTTTAAGAATCAAAGTCACAAATTGATGAACTGATAATAAACATAAGAAAAGTAAGAAATCTTTGATTTTGTATAGAGAGATCAGGAAGACAGCAAAATGTAAGTTGAGAATCCATCAGTTCTTATGCCTAAAGATGCTTCGAAGTATGTATTGTGTCTGCTTCCTTGAAAGAAAGGGAAGAGTTGGCATAGACTTCTATAGGAGCAGGATATCATCCTTTAATGTTTTAAACCAGTCAGTGTAGCCTATAAAAATTGAGAAGCAGATCCTAAGAAAAATGGGAAGCAGGTTGGACAGACAGAATTCTGCCCTTCATATGCTACCCAGATATTTCCAGAATTAACTGCATCTGGATGTCTACCATGATTTTTATCTGTAAAAAAAACAAAAAACAAAAAACAAAAAAACCCCCATCTAAATAAGATGTACTATATACGGCAAGACTTGCTTGGGCTGCTAAAGACAATCTGAAAGACTGTTTATTACAGCTAATAAAAGCCAAACTCAAAGTGCAAAGTATAATACTTTTCCCTTGATTTATTTTCAAAAACAGTACGGATGGGGATAATTTCAGGCAAGTCTGCTTTCTTCAACATTTTGGCAGCCACGGCTTTCCTACAGAGGAGCAGTACCTGTTTTGCGCGTGCGTTTCTGGTTGATTGTCTCTATGCAAAATCCTTCTTTCTAAGCATTCTCAAACAAATACAAATGAAGGCACCCCAATGAAATAGCTACATTAGGCAGAGAGCTGGACGTGCCTGTGTGAGTTTCTTTTATAAACCTTACTCAAAACACTTTTCTTACCCAATTCAATATTGTGTCATTGCCATCTTTCTGCTAGTACAGTCAGAACTACACGGCTTAATGAAGCAGGCACCGACTACCAAAGGTCAGTGTGTTATCACCTGGATATCCATCACAGACCCATACCAGTAGCTTTTGCACTCTTTTATATATTTTAAAGCAATAACATTCTTCTTCTGATAAGCTGCAACTCTCTTACAAAGGCTTCCTCCCGCATAATATTTTTCTGTCTCAGCTGCCAAACGTCTACAGAAGCACATGTGCATTCTGTGTATGATAATGTAATTTATAGTAATATAAAATTTGAGACACAGATCGACAGAAATCCCAGAGTCTGTAACTTGGTCCGTCTGTTGCACATTATTGTGACAAACATGGCTTTTTAAGAAGTCTCCAACAAATGATATGCCAGCGTGTACTTGACCAACCGGACTGCTTGAACTCAGTATGACTAATTCAAACATAACAGGGATCCCCTAGAATTTCTTAAAGTACTTTAAATACATTACATACTTAAGTATCTATTATGACTATGGTCCACATCCTGCTTCCACGAAATCAAGTAAAGTTTTGGCATTGACTTCTACAGAAGCCGGACATTTTCCTGTAATGTTTTAGTTTAGATAAATCATGGCTAACATAGTTTAAAATGTATTCTTTGATGGCGTGAATTTAGAGCAAGTCTCCAGTCTGATCAGAAGATATTATCTAACGTTATTCACAAGGCTAGCTGAAAACTATACCACATCACCCTACCTGTGGATTAGTGAGATTACAAATTTGAACACAGTAGAACAGTTAAATTTGGCTTAAAGTTACTCCTGAACATCTGCTTCTGAACACTTTTGTGAGGACCTTTTAACACCGATAGGAGGGAATAACAACTTGTGAGTTACCTTTATAAGAATGTAGCAACTTTTAAAAAAACCCAAACAAACAAACCAACCAGCTTCAAACAGTGTTCAATCAGCGTAATATCTACATGTTTAAACACATGAACTCATGAAACATACTGCTGTTCTTGTCAGCCACTTACGGCAAAGGCCCCGTGCAAACTTCATGTATTACAGTCTCCTCTGGATTATCTGAAACTCAGACATCTCCCAACACAAACAAATATTTTCATTTGGAATGGTTGGGTAAATCTCCTGGATTTCCTATTTTTTAGGAACCAGAGTCTAGGAAAAGATTGTGCTCTTGTCAGACTTCTGGCTTACACGCGGTGCTAGGCGTGGGGTACAGCTGACTTCTTGATCCTCTCCTCTTTCCAAGAAGGACAATAACTGTTGGCTGTGTGACATCCCTTATCAGTTCAGACTTTGGATATTTAGTATGTCCAGCTAATAAGTTCTGTACAGTCTTAACTGACTCCTGCCAACTTGGACTGGAAGAGTAAACAGACATCAAGGATCTGCTTTCCCTTCCATATCCAGCCTCAGCTTCTGAAGGAACACAAGGACATTCAAGCCCAAGCAAGTCCAAGTCACAAGCGAGCAGTTTGCGGCTATAGAGTAATGGAAAGCCAGCGTAAAAAATACAAAGCATACAGTATCTCTAGCCAAAGTACAAGACAAATGATACGTCAAGTCCTAAAATTGCATTTCGCAGCTTCAGCTGTGCTCAGACTGTGAAATACCTGAGTGCTGCTGCAATAGGAAAATATAAGCCATAGATATTGTCACTGACACAAGATACTGCACATAACATGGCAGAAAACAAAATTGTATCCACTTGTCAACAAGTTGGGTTTGCTTCTATTTTTATTATTAGAAAGTAAGAACAATTCTGCAGTCAATTAAATCCATTAAACTGTGGGGGACCAGAGATCAGTCCAGAATATGATGTAGGATGGCTTCTTTAATAATATTCATACCAAAATCTGAAACCAAAATTTTGCGCTTAGGAACCTCAAATGAAAGTGTAATTAATCTTCATAACAAGAATTCACGTCCTGTTTTAAACTGAGGAAACTCGGAATACATTTGGGGTTCTGGAGCAAACATATGACTGGATGCTGAGCAAAGCAGAAAATTAAAATGTCAAAATGTAAATTTCAGTAAGATTCCAGTAAGGGGTAAGATTTCAGTAAGATTAACTGAGCAGTCCATAGCTGTTCTCTGGCCATTGATTTGACCTGTCTGCACGTTTCTGATAACAACATTATATTGGGTTTTATTGCCATTTATATTGTTTTTTCATTGCCGTGCATGAGGCTTTTATGACTTGGGTAGGAGCACTTACTACGGCAGGGCAAAAATCATCCTACCTAAACCTGCAGTGAGTCCTACCAATATCAGACAACTAGACATAAGGATAAAATCCTGATTTCCAGAAACCAAACTCGCTTTGCCATCAGGTAAGCCCCCCCCCAGAGATCTAAACTGAAGCCTGGGTACCAATCTCCATCCACTAACGTTTCAGACCATCACGAAGATGCGTCCTTTCTATCCAGAATGCAATATTTTCAAGCGCCAACGAGATTTCATCAGAAGAGACTGCCCGTTTGCTTTACCTGCATCAGCAGCTGTGATGAGTAGCACGTACTGCTCCTTCGCCTCCCGGTCCAGGCTCTGCACCAAGCGCAGCTCTCCGCTGGCCGAGAGGGTGAAGGCTCCTTCTTCGTTTCCAGCCACCAGCACATAAGTAAGCTTGCTGTTTAGGCCTTGATCATCATCCCTTGCTACAACCTACAAAAGCAATGCAAACGCGTGGGAAAAATTATCAAGAACCGGTGAGGGCAGGGTCTGTAAAATTTTGTAGCGATAGAGGAAATATTCTCTATGACAATGATTCAAATTAACAGACTGAATTCATCCAAACGCTTTAAGGGATAGTACACTAGCTGTAACTATAAAAATGACAACACAGTGGAGATGGACTTAAAAGCATTTGTTTGCTTTTAAAGCAAAAAAGTTTGAAAATATTAAATAGTTGATTACTTATTTTTCTCAAGCACAAAGACAGTAAAGGCTGTATTGGGGCTCAGTGAAAACCAGAAATGATCTAGTGTAGGCTGAGCTCCGCACCAAAGCAAGCGCTGCACGTCCTGAATCCATTTAGTGCTCTTCCAATGTCTGGCACAGACCCTCAACCCATGTAGGCAATGATCACACCGAGAGATTTGTTGCACGAAAACTGAGATTGAGATGAGAGACAGAGCAGACTCAAAGTCCCAGTGTAGGCGGGAAGATAGGTAGGGAAAACACAAACAAAACTCCAAAGCATCATATAAACTTTCGGTAAAAACACAAGCAAAAAAACCCCAACAAAACAACCCACCCAAACAAACAAAAAGGGAAATGAGCCAACAACCACTGTGTGTTAGATTACAGCCAAGAGGCAACTTTTCAATCGTCTTGCGCGGTTTGAATTTTGGAGGAAAGACTATACATGAATACCATATACTGAAGAATGCTAATAAATGTAGGAGATAGATATTTATTTGCTGAATAGACTCACCTGAAGAATAACTTTCGGGAGCGTCTCTAAATTCTCAGGGACATTCACAGAGTAGGGAGAAAGTTCAAACGTGGGAATATAATCATTGACATCCTTCAGAATAATAGTGACTGTCGCGGTGTCGGTCCTCGGGCTGCTCCCGCGGTCGGCCGACTGAACAGTCAGCGTATAAGAGGGTTTTTTCTCTCTGTCCAAAGGCTTGGCAACTGTTATCACCCCCGTCACAGAATCAATCCGAAACTCATTGTTGGCATCTCCGCTCACGATGGCATAGCGGACCTGCCCGTTTGTACCTTCATCTCCATCCGTAGCAACCACCTGGATTAAATCCGTCCCTGTCAAAGTATTTTCCCCCACCTCTACTTTATAAAGCTTTTGGGCAAAAAGCGGGTTATTGTCATTAATGTCCAGGACTATAACCACCACATCTGTAGATGAAGAGAGGGAGGGCTGGCCCTTGTCTGTGGCTACCACAGTCAAGGTGTAGTTGGACACGGCTTCTCTGTCGAGCTCCCCGGTAAGCCTCACTTCTCCGTCAATAGTGCCGATGCTGAATTTGTTTCCCGGCGGCCGGAGCAGACTGTATTCGATGTAGCTGTTCGGACCGCTGTCGGGATCGGTCGCCTGCGCTTTGAACACAACAGTATCTATCGGCGTGTTTTCCGGGATGTAGGTCAGCTTCGGGGAGATAAAGCTTGGAGGGCTGTCATTGACATCCAGCAGAATAATTGAAACTTGGGCTGTGCTTGTGTACCTGGAGGCCGGGAGAGGGGCCATGTCGTGGACTTGCACGACGAGGCTGTAGAAAGACTGGCTTTCCCGGTCCAAAGGCTGCCTGATGCTCAGCACTCCCCTGTTGTCGATGCCGAACTGCCCCGCGCTGTCCCCGGATGCGATGCTGAAGGCCAGCTGCGAGTTGGAGCCTGGTGGGGCGGGAAGAAGAAAGGTAGAGAACGTGACTTCATCCCACCGACCTACATATAAATGTTTCTGGCCTCGTTTCCTATGGAAATTTATTTATCTCCTACATTTCCTATGGAAATGAGGGCTGTACGGTCGTGCTGCCTGTTCAGCTTCCTCATCACCATTTTTGAATCCCTCAGCTAATTTTAGCCAAGTTTCACAGTGGAGCAGAAGCCTTTGAAATAATTATTTTCCGGCAAGAGTTGGAGAGAGAAAGAGGGAAGGATGTTAACTGGAGTGGCCACAGAGGGAACAGCGGGCAGAGCTCGTCTCTGCATTCCATTCGGCAGGAGCTGCATGGTGGCAACATGCATAATTTTCCCCCCATCTACAGCTGTTAGGGACAAAGGTTTTGAAGGGTTTTCCTTCAGAAACCGAGACTCGATAGTTCTGCTGCTCACTGAACAGCTGTTTTCCTCCATTCTCCCCAGTTCAACTAAGCAACACTATTATTAATGTAATTATTTCATGAATTCTTCCACCCAATTAAAAAAAGCCACAACCAGAAACTCCCAAGCCCAGCTGGAGCAAGCCAAGAGTGAATACTGGGGAGAGGTATGCTTCCCATATATGGCCTGATATTCCAAAATATCAGATGAACAGCCCTCATCATATGATCGAAACACAACTAGCAATTATGGTCAAGGGAGAGATTTATAATTCTGGTAAGGGAAATGCATTTTGCATCTTGACAAGGCTGTGAAATGACCTTAAATGTGCCATCAAGGAAACAAATGTTCGTTACCACTTCAACTCCAGAGTTCACTCTAAACAACTAATTCTTGGGAACACCTAAGTGAAATGAGTCTTCTCTCATGTATTTTTATATATATATATATATATATGTATATTTTTCTATTTATATATATAAAAATGAGTCTTCTCTCATATATCTATATATCTTACTCTAATTTTAATTAATTCTGATTTTTTATTTCTTGTTTTGGGTCATAAAGGCTGTGATTTAGGATTAGTAGATTAACAGGCCGTTCACTACTAATTTACCCCTCAAACTCACGCAAAGGAACCAAGCTGCCTGCTTAAATAGTCGATTACTCTGCTGTGCGTTTTGTCATTTTTAGTCAGAAGCTCTTTTCCCTCAGACCGAATTGCTTTGATAATAAAATTATTCCCGCACTAGATTTATTAATTTCTGCTGTTGATTACGCTCAGGCTTGAGAACTCTAGTCTTATTTGTCTTTCCCCCAGTGGCTACTCTAATTGGCATCTTTCCCTCTCTCTTCTTCTCTTGTAGGAACTTAATTATAAAATAAATAGAACCAAACATGAAAGACAAAATATTTTCATGCAATTAAAGAAATTAATACATTTATATGCCAGATATTAGTGCTTCTACATTACTTTGATCAAGTGATGCACCGTGAAAGTTTAATGTGAGTCTATTTTTTGTTCAGCTGTATTTTCAAATGACTAATTATATGGATGAAAGTCTTCTGGTTTCAGTAAAGTACTTCTGGCAATTCAAGATTTTTGTCAATTGACTTTGGAGATGGGTAGGAATTAAATCTTACAGAATAAAATTACTTTAAAAATATTCCCCCCCCCAGGGTTTTCTATAGTGGTGTTTGTTCCTATAAAATTTACTGCTTTTTCTTCTTTATCTCACCTCCATGCACCTTTTCATTCCTTGTCCTGTATTCTCACAGGTTTCAATGTTGCTAATGCTTATATAGATTAAACTGTGAAGCAGAGAGTTGCCTAAATATAAGCGGAGCCAGGACTGGTGCTTAATGAACTATTTTTTTTTTTTAAGCACAGCATGCCCGGCTGGTATTGTGCTCCTCATCCATCCCTCTCCCCAGGTTTGGAGCTGGGCTTTTCTTAGGGAGAACGTAGGAGCATCCTCTTTGCTGAGCTTTGGGTTCATTTAATCTGAGGGTTAATCTGATAAAACTCTGAGTGAGAGCTCGGACACAGAGCCACAAATTTCACGATGATGCTCTTTTAAGGGTCTTGTTTCTGTTTTTATTTATTTACTAATGAGACAAAAAAAAAAAAACCTACTCTCCTCCCTCTTCTGTAAATACCGGTAGAGTCTAACTGGCAAATCCCACCGTTTTTTGCTCGGAGGAATATCTTGCTATAATTTTAAACAACTAGACAAGTGTGTGCTTTGCCCTGAGATTTTTCCTGTTAATTCAATGTGGAAAGAATTAAAATCTGAATCTCAAAATGAACGTGTTTAAGGAAACAGAGTTCTTTATTGCTTTGTAAATAACCAAGAGCTGTAGCTGATATTTACTAAGCATCTGTATACAAAACTGTCCGAGCTGAGATAAACAGCTACTGTTTCCCAAGGGCTGTGTCGAGCAAGAAAATGAAAAGGAGCAGTTTCACTATCACCATGTTTTTGTCTTTTATCACTATACTAAAACAATAGGCATACCTCATCATAAAACAATGTCTGTTCAGAGCTCCTTCAAACGATGTCCTCATATAACATAAATAAGTAACAAAATTGTATTTGTGTGCATTGAGTGCATTATCTGTGAGCCACATGCAGAGGAGCATAGTACGAGCTATTTCTGTACTCTAGATAAATACAAGATGACACAGGATAACAAGTTTGGGCTTGAAACAGAAACACCAATAGATAATAACATTTGCTGAAGTTACAGTCCTATGGGGGAACTCAGCCTGGCATGCTCTTAGAATGAAATTTCTGCCCTATTAATTTTAAATCCAGCCCGCTAGAAAAGTAAGTGTGCCAGAAAATATAAAAGGCAAGATATCTGACTTTGCATTGCTCCTCAAATACTCATTTGCTTCCTTGATAATTGAGTGCATGATGAATGTAAAGCGGTATGTCAGTGCTATGATATAGTTCACATCCACTGCGCACAGATGGAAATTAATGTATGAGGTGCAACAGAAAAGGAAAACAGACCCATAACGGTTAAGTGAAATTAACTTCCAAAAAGATTTGAAACCAAGCATTGTACTTCTAACAGGAAAATAAGAAGTAAAAGAGGAGATAAGTTAGACACAAACCCATTTATCTACAGGTCTGAAGGAACAAACCCTTTGCTGGATATGCGCAATGCAAGCACAAGTACCCCCTCCAACTTATAGTTGGTTTACATAAAATAAAAGCTTTAACAAGAGTGGGGAAAGAGAGATCCGTGCAAGAACAGCCAATATCACCAAGTTATAATTTCTGATTTGCTGGCTTATCTTACGGAATCTCTTTTCGCTCACTTTCTCAGTTTGATCTCAAAACCAATTGCACAATTTTTACCACGGAAAGTTCTATCCATCAGCACAAAATTTATGTTCCCACAAAAATGTTTGAGTTCAACAACTCAGCATTTCCCGAGGAAAAAATGTTTTACTGGATAATATTGATCAGCTCAGTCGTTTTATGTGCATAAAGTAGGGTTCCTCGAAGCATGTAGGTGCTTTGTGCTTGAAGCACACATTTCAGTCTAAGACGTTTCTACAGGCTCTGCTGAGCCAGTGTCAAGTTGAGAGGAAACAAGGTTGCTTAACATGTCACAAAAATAACCTTCACCTGTAAAGTCACTACGAGTGTTATGAATAAGTTTGTATTAAGTCACACTGTCTAATGGCTGTGGACACTTAAGAAAATGCAGTATGCTGTGGAAGGATTTTTATGTATTTTATGGACATATTCTATAATTATTCTTGCTTGGACATAAACTGCATGGCAAAATGTTTAAGCAAGCTATAAAGATTGTATCTTTTACATTCCAACACATTAACACCTTCTAGATGCCATAAATAGGCCCAAGATTAAAGCTTATTTTAATGAGAAATTTTCTCATAATCTCTTTTAATCAGTTTTTTAACCTCCACTATCAATACCCTGTAGATCACAATTCTCTTCATGATACACTTAAAAATTACAGTAATTTTAAGATGATTGCAGATGAAATCTCATATTGCCAGAACCTTATTTAGAATATGTTATAAACTTTACAAAAAAAAAAAAAAAACAATCTGAAAGAACATCGTGGTCTAATTTAAATGTGCAACCTAAGCACCAGGGGAGAAACCATTGTGTTCAACTACTGTAACATGCTTGGGGTAAAATACAGCTCTGCAACAGCATTTAAAAGTGGTATCTGACTGTATTTTTAATTTATCACAAATAAAAATAAGGATGAAACCACCCACTTAAATCTTTTGCGAAATATGAGAAAAATAACTTCTATTTACACAGCACGCAGCGAATTTAAGCATATGATAGCATCCTAAGGATAGCCCTAATTTGCCCTTTCGACTGGATCTTCTAATATGGTGCTAAGGTGAAATACATATTAATCATCAGTGATACAGAATATAAGGAAATGCCTACCATCATCCGCATCAGTGACGCTGAAGTTGAAAATAGCGGATCCTGGAGACAGGTTCTCCATCAAAGACGTGCTGTATGAGGTCATGCTGAACACTGGCGGGTTATCATTGATGTCTAGTATATTGAAGTACACTCTGATGGTAGTAAATTGGCCTCCCCCATCTTCCGCGCGGACGGTGAGAATGTAATACTGCTGTGCTTCATAGTCCAGCGCGCGAGTCAGGTTGAAGACTCCGGTAACAGGGTTGAGGAAGAAGATACCCTCTTCGTCATCTTCACTTACGGTGTACGTGATTTCCCCATTGATACCGGAGTCATCGTCAGTGGCCAGAATGGCTGCCACTAAGGAACCTGCACAGCATGACAGGACAGCAAAATCAGTCACTCACAAAAGGCAGCTCACTGGCATGGTCAGAATCATACAACCGTTTAGGTTGGAAGGGACCTTGAAGATCATCAAGTTCCCCCACCCCGCCATGGGCAGGGACACCTCCCACTAGACCAGGTTGCTCACAGCCCCATCCAGCCTGGCCTTGAACACCTCCAGGGATGGAGCTTCCACAGCTTCTCTGGGCAACCTGTTCCAGTGCCTCACCACCCTCACAGTGAAAAATTTCTTCCTAATATCTAATCTAAACCTCCCTTCTTCCAGTTTAAAGCCATCCCCCCTCGTCCTATCACTACATGCCCTTGTAAAAAGTCCCCTCCACCAGAGCGGCTGACCACCACACAGCATCAGCAAGCAGCTTTGTAGAATAAGAGGTATCCTGTGGTGGAAATTCAAGCCTCAATATTCTACGACTAACTACTATGAAAGGTCTTTCAAAGCTGAAAGGAACAGTATTCTGTATGATGTTTATTTCAAAGGGCTACTCAAAACCCTGGAGAAATGTCCAGGAATGTTTGTTTTTATCTTTAAATGGGAATATGTCCAGATTAGACATCAACCGGGGCAAAATACCTTTTCTCCTGCTAGGTGTTTTCTTTCTACAATTCAAAGGACCCTCTCCTCCCTGCAGACAAACACAAATTCTGAAACCTTCTAGAGATTTCTTTCTAAATGCAGAAACTGAAATGTCAGTACATACCAAATATCCCAGCTCTGCTTTTTGAAAAAATGCCTTTGTAGGGTAACTGCGGTTAAAAAACTAGAAACCTTATAGCGGTGCGTTCTTTACTGTTTTCTGAAATCCAACTCCTTGTGAATTTGTGCCATTGTTTTCATTTCTGCATAGCTTCCTTTGCCTGACTGCCCTATCTTACTAAAGTTTGGGAATTAAGTGTCACTTTTTAGTATTTCAAACACTAACTATAATTAAGATCAGCTCATTTCCAAAAAAATAAATCATCTAATTTCTTTTCCATGGAACCAGATGAATTACACGCATTGCAGCACAGTTAACTATTTTCGAGCAATGTGACAATGAAAACTGCTTATCAGCTTCTAAGATGCTTCAGTTACTAGTACCGGCAGATACTGCTTTTAAACTAGCAGTCTGTATAAAATACCCGAAACTTTTTATTGCAAGTATTATTCATTTTTCATCTGGAGATACATAATATAGCACAGTTTCTGAAACTTTTTTTGGGGGGCCTAAATATTTTCTAGCTTACAACCTAGTTTTTAAATGTCAAAACACTCTTGCATATGAAACAAGCTTTAAAAGAAGAAAACAACAACTTAAGAGGTTGGTGATCATATTTAGGAACCAGAATTAACTATCTACAGGTTAGATTTTCTGCAAAAACCTTGTCAAAAGCAGGAGTCAAAGAAAAGAACAAGGAAATATAATGTTAGGGTTAATAACTGAGTGCATGTAAGGAATATTATTAAGGAAGCAGTGGCTGCTCAGTGGTCACCCATTTTGTGACCCTACACTTGATGAATTAAGTACCGTAAGTCATATTCACTGAAGACGGTTCACAAAATCAATCCTAGCATCACCATTCACGAGAGGTTATACTGTTTGTGTCCTCTAAGTCGTTCCTCCTTCTAACCTTTCTGTTTGCTATTTTTCAAGTAGTCGCACTCAGAGGCTTCCATTGGGATACAGGCATAATTCCTATTCTGCATCTAGGATTTAGCTGAGTGGCAACCGTTTCTCCTTTTCCCATTGAAAAGAAATTTGACCTCACTAGTGACACAGATCGCCTCGCAAGCAGACTTTCAGCATGATGTCATTCCCTCCGTTTCTCCACCCTACAGATGCCTTCAACATCTTCTGTCTCCTGGCCTTGTCAGACAGGTTTGCTACCCCATCCCCCTCAAATCCTTGTGGATTGACAAAAAAAAAAAAGAGATTCAGGCAATTTTAGGGCCATTTCCTATTTACCTGGAGTGGCATCTTCCGGGATGTCGAAGGAATACACTGGCTTGGAGAATTTGGGAATATGGTCGTTAACATCGCTAACAGTGATGTTTATTCTCATGTCAGAGGACTGGAGGCCGTCATCAGCACGAACCAGCAAGGAGTACTTGGAGCGGCGCTCCCGGTCCAGGCGCTTGGTGGCTATCAGGTCTCCTGACTCGGGGTCAATGTGGAAGCTATCATCCGCACCGCTGATAATAGTGTATGTGACGAGGGCATTGGCTCCCTAAGTAAAAACAGAAGTGGTCAAATCAAGTTATTTGCCAGGAAAACCACATCATAATTTTCAGTAAGACAAGAATCGTTCCAGTAACTGCACTTGGCGAATATTTTTCAGAACAGTTTCCTTTAACAAACAGCCCTCCTGCCCAGTCCCTACTTCAGTCCCCCAGTAAAGATGCACACTGTTTTTATTTATGAGACGTGAAATGACAAGATTACCCAGAGACTTTTTGCTCTGCTGTTCATAAAAGGACCGCATCCGATCAATACCATACAGCTTCCGATCAATACCATACAGCTCTGATACATGTTTTAATTTCAAGGCAGCATCACCAAGCAGCATAACGTCTTCCCTCTAAACAGGGATCAGTGTTTATTCTTCTTGCTTTATGTTCAAAGGTTAAATTAAATCCCTGCCAGTGGGATCAGCTCTGCTGTTCTCACTCTCCAGAGGTGGGACGGAGGGAGAAGGACAGGGTGGGGTGCCAGCAGGGAGGACCAGAGGTGTCCACGCGGCAGGTCCACCAGCCAGCAGACACGGCAAGAGCTGCAGCTCCCGGTCAGGAGAAACTCAGGGGAGCTGTGCTCACAGCAGCCCCTCTAAGGACAGTTTCTGCATGGGAATACATTTATCCCTGAACATAAACAGCCTCAAAGTGACAAATCATATGTTGTTAAAATCACAGTTCTGATCTCTTGGATTGTGCTGGAAGTCAAAAGCATTTGCTTTGGGGTCAAAGTGTCTCATTTGTCCTTGGAAAAAAAAGGATTCATACGGACTTCGAGCATTTTGGTTAAAAGGAAAACTAAGGAAAAGTAATGCTACATATAAAAACGATCACCTTTTTTTTTTTCTTCCCCTCTTAAAGGTTGAAATTAAAACGTAGGAAAAAAATATGGAAACTTCCAATCAAGAAATATTGACATGGTGCTTTGTGCCTCAGCCCTGCCCTGTCACAAACACCGAGAGAAGTCACCTGCATCCAGTCTGTATCATTGATTTTTAACAAGAAAAATCGATGCGCATCGTAGCTCTGAGGAGCACTGAGTTTTCCTGGAAAAAGCGATGCTACCTGAGCTCTGTTTCCATCCGCCTCCTGGGGACGGGTTGTGCAGAAGGATGCTGCAGCCAGAGGGTGGTCCAGGGGATATAAGCAGCTGGCTAGAGCACCCAGCCCCAGCTTGGGTGACATTTTCCCCCAAAACCAATATTTGGCTATACATTTTGCTTCTTAGCAGACCGACATTGGGGTCTTTAAGGGAAAACAGAAAGAGACCAAAGATCCTGGGGTCACATCCTTCTTTTTCCAAGGCATGGCACTGAAGGTTTGGTAACCTCCAACCTTGGATACATGTAGCCCATGTGCTGACTATCCGCAGCGATGCGTTTTGGTGGGCAAACAGATATTTAGCATCTCCCCCCCTCCGGTGGCAGGCCAGAGCCCGGGTTTCCCAGCTGAACCCTGCCGCTGGCAACGCGGGTAGCATTTCTGCGGTGAACAGCAGATCAAAGAGATCAGGGAGAAAGAAAATCTATAGCTGTTTCACATACTCTTGCCTAAAAAAGCAAATTAACAGAGATAAACACCTGCTCACATCTGTGAGATGAGAAACAAGTGTCAGTTCACTGACCTTAGGAGAGTGCTTCGTGCCAACCTTTTTCTCCGGGTGTTTTTTCAAAGGGTCAGACTGAGCTAACTGATAAAATGAAATTTGGAAAGCAAACAAGGTCCTGCAGGTGCCCAGCCCCGAAGAGCTGCGGGCAGTGCTTCAGCGTACACAGCATCTCTGTGTGCTCAGGTGTAGCTGGGGGATGCCACGCGCCTTCCTCCCATTGTGCAATTTCGCAAAAACATCTGATGAGAATTTAAGATTTCAGAGGCGACTGCATTCTCCACCGCTTGTTTGATGAACCAGCCTCCTCCTAACAGAGCGCAGGGGAGGGGGAAGGCAAGTATCTTGACCCTAAACTGCACATTGCTAAAAAACCTTGGACTCTTGGTAGAGGGTTTTAGTTACAAATGTTCTGCTAGGGAAACTGAAATCATCCTTTTTTATTACAAGATCGATTGATTTCTGTCTAAGGTAACAAGTCAATTCCCACTGGATGGAATGCTTCAGAACGGATAACATATTAGGTGCACTTTAGGAATGGTCAGAAAGAGGCTGCAGCATAATATTTCTAAAATTTAGATAACCGTGCGCCATATCACAGCAGAGAGTGGTTGTTCAGTATTTACTTCTTCCTAATCTGAAGACAAACAGCTAGGATTTTTGTTACAGATATATGCCTTTCCAAAATCCTATTTTTTTGTCTGTATGTCAGGCTGCTACCAGAAAAGAAAGAACAAAAAATTCATAATCCCATTCGTACCATTCCTGAGGGTGTTCCAGTGGTTCCCCTTGTAGTAGTAAGATTAAGTACATCAATTAACAATCACAGGACAACTAACCAAGCTAACACAAAAAAGGCCAGAAAGAAAATTCTCTTGAGGGGGTTGAATAACCTTATTATTTGAATGCAAGAATTGCCCGTTGTTGTCAAGTGTAACCCTATACTTTAATGACCATACAAACTTCTTTGCATGTTCGTATTGACTTTTTAGGACTTTCCCCAGTGGAAAGAATCAGTTCAAGTGTACAAAACAATATGATTAACATTCTCATAACTTACTTTCCAAAAGAAATGAATATATCAAATTATATGGGATATATTTGCCTGACGCATACAACAAGACCGTAATATCCCTCACTAAGCTGACTGGCCACCTGTTTAACATCAGTTGCTCAAAGGCGTTTGCTCGTTTCATAATAACTCTTTAGTTGCACCGTCCTCATGTTAATGAATCTAAGTGGGCAAAATGATTTTTCAAACTGGTTTATGTACAGAAGACACATTTTAGCATTATTTCTTTCCCTCTCTTTTTGGTGAAATAAAGCCTTCTTTAGGAAAGGATCATACTGATATTAAGTAGTTCTAGTCAAAGGGCGAGGAGGCATTAGCAAAAGTTTTCTTGTTCTCCAAGGCTCGTCTCACGCTAATTTTATTGCACACCTTGAAACCAGGCTCAACTACAACATCTCTGCATCAAAGTCAGTTTAGATCTCAAGCTGTGGTCTTCAGCTGACTGTCAATAAAGCTTTATCACAAGCTGGATGGCCCAGCACCTTTAGCAATTTAGTGGGTACGGTGTAGGATGAGACTGATAACAAGACCATCTAAAAATCAAAACGTGGGGCATTTTTTGCCATTAGTGGCACTGCTCATTAAGAGATGTTAGGAAAACATTAACTCATTATATACAAACCAGTAAGCAGCCTTCAAGTAATGGAGTCTTTGTCTCAACTTGCTGGTTCTGCCTCTGTATGACTCCATGATACCGAACAGAGTTTTGTGAACGGGCCAAACGCAGTTTAAAGCATGACTGCAGTGACTCCCAAAGTCAAGCTCTCACGAAGGGAACAGGTGAAAAACACCTATTTCCAGAAGAGCATTTTTATTCAAATAGGAAACCACACTCCTACCTCATCAGCATCCATGGCTGTCAGCTGCAGTATTTTAGATCCATCTCCTATATTCTCTTCTACAGTCAGATCAAGCATATCTGTGGGGAACACCGGTGGGTTGTCGTTGATATCCTGAAGTGTTATTTCCACCTGTGAAAAGCAGGAAACCGGAAAAAGTTGTGTGAGCACTGTGAGTTAGACGCTGATTGGACCTGAATGTTACAAATCGCATAATTTTGAAAGAAATCAGGCAAATTGTTCTTAATTGCATGAATTAGAACATTCCCAAATCACACCAACAACAGGAAAAGCCCCTCCGGATATTAAAATTCCACGTTGTTATAAAATACTCATAGGAAAGCCTCTAACATAAATAAAGTTAATTTGACTTGTTGATAGCAACTGATTTTAAATGGTCCTAGTCTAGTTTATATTGGAAAAGATCCACTGATAGACTGTCATTGTAATCCTCTAAGTCGGCCCCTGGAGGATAGCTGCCAAGTCCCGGGGCAGGAGATCATTCAACCATTAAATGCTGCCTGACATAAAGATGAGGTGGTGTAAAATTCTCTCTGAAATGTTTATATATTGGCAACTCTCCGTTCTGAGGGAGGAAAAAACACCCTTGCATTTTACATTTTTTTTTTTTAAAATAATCTGGTTTTCTCTCTCTCAAAGCTCTCCTCTAACTGCATCCATAAACATTACTTTAGAAGCCCCCACTAGCATCCACTCTCCTTGCCTACACACGCCTAAACAAATGTTCTTTTCACGTGCGATATTTGTAAGCTTTTCCAAGTAGTAATGGTAGTTCCCAAAAGGTTGTCGTGTGTTGTTTATTCCTAGTTTTTCATGAGCGAGACTGCTGCCCTGCTGATGCTAATTCAAAAAGCTGCAGAGCTCCGTTTTCCCTTGTTGCCAGGTATGGAGTGTAATATTCCAAAAAAGGAAAGAGAGGACACAGCTGTTTTACATTTATCAGGAAAAAAAAAAGGCTTGTTTTGGACCTAAATGGCCACCAAACTCTGAAGACACGCTAACGAGAAAACTAAGTAGCTGAAGAAAGTCTGTTTTTATCGCTCATCAAGGAAAGGTAGATAGGGCTGTTGCACAGGAAGAGAGGCAAAGGTGTGGATGACTTGAAGCAGGTACCTAGATCGACAGGCAAAATATTATGGACACTACAGTACCCGCCATGCCATTATCCACACGGGATCTCGCTGCACTTAGTTGAAAATATATGGGTTAGGCTGGTCTGGATATCATCAACACAGATGTCCCTGGTGATATGAAGTCTATGATTTCTACTATTTCTAGTCACCTGCCATAATGGTTTTTTTTGTTTGTTTGTTTTTTTGTTTTTTTTAATTCTGTTTTCATACAGATCACCAATTGCCAAGCCATTCTCACTTGACCACCAGGACAATCCCGAAGACAAGCACTTTGGTGACAGCAGCTTGGCTGACCCTGCAGAACAACCTAGTCACCTGGGCTCACTTGCCGCATCTTTCCCCGAGCTCTCAGTGCCTGCACCCGAGGATCATCGGTCCTGGTACCACAACCTGAAGGATGCTCCATCCCTCTGTCCTCCCAAAAGCAACAGTTTCAGAAAGCCTAACATTTCCACCAGTGATAGACTTTGTGATGGAACAGATTTGGTGCGCTGTGCTAATGTCCTTCATCAAAAGCCCTGAAAACATAAATTACGGTAGACATGTAAATACTCTGAGAGTATATTTGATCTTAACACACACATTTCTTCTGCCTCAGAGGATGTTTCTAACGCAGAGAAGGCTGCAAGGAGCTCAGCTCTTTCCCCGATAAGCATTTTTCCTCCAACAGGATGTCTTCAGAGGGTGGAGAGATCTACACCACTGAGAACATTACGGCTACATTGGTCTCTGGTCAGGATGCATGCTACACAGGGAGACAACTTTCACCTGGGGTCTAAACCATCCTCAGTCACCTCAAGTAAGTGAGCTTTTTTCTTTCAATTATTTTATTTTTTTTCCAATTTGCGTTCAGTATTTGTGCCCACAGCAGCTTACTGTTACTGTCAGCCTGCCAGAACTTTTCCATACCATTAAAGAGAACTGAAGTGTCTTTAAAAACAGATGAAATATTACATTATTATTATAGATATATTTGCCAGAAGCGCAGGCAAAACACCGGTCCTATAGGCCTTACGTGGCCTTTTATAGAGGCCATTATTTATTTATACCATGTTAATTCCTTTGACCGTTCACAAATGGTACACAAAACACTTCATGGCCTGAGACGGATTAACCCAGGAGGTTTTATCATCAAATTTAAATCCCTGACAACAGAAGCACGAGAAGCGCTGACGTTGCATCACGAGCAACAATTCGACAACTAACTAACCAGACACAAACTTTCCGAGAATTAAACCAGCCCATGCTGGTTTTCACGGTGACCGCTGCATCTGGGCGACAGTTCATCGCGGAAACGGGAGAGATGCAGCAGAAGAGAGATGAGAAAAGAGCAGGAGAGAGAAAGAGCAGAGAGAGAAGGATTTGGCCCTCCATCCTTGCCACTCGGGTCCTGCCCCCTGCACTGGCACAGCAAACTACGTATGCTCCGAGTATAGCATTACCCCCCCAGATACAGTTTCAAGGTAAAGCAGCTGCGCAGCTCTGCCATCTATTTATTCATACCCTATATGTCACGCGCAGCTCATGTTTCAGCTGCAGGTGACGTTTCACCACCAGAACCCATTTTCACGATGAGAGATTGCCCTCTGTAAAAATCGTATGAAAAATATATGACAGCTTCTGGGGTTTGGGGTTAGGAGCTGTGCATTGCCTACAGCTTGCATAATGTAAAATGGTCCAAGGCTACAGATGGCTAAGGGTTGGGGAACAAAATACATTAATTATAGAGTCAGATTCTGAAGAACTGGGGAAAAAGAAAAGGGGGACAGGGGGGAGAAGAACAACAGAGGAAGTAATTTTATCCTGAAAAGGCAGCTCCCAAGTAAACAAAGACACTATATTTTATACTGAAGTAGTGCTTTATATGGTGGAAAAAATAGGAAATTCTCAAGTAAGGCAGAGTAATTTTTAGTAAGAGATCACAATATTCTTAAAGAGCATTTATACCATGATTTACTATTTATCCACAGGGCTTAGGATAATGCATATTACTTAATAATTCACTGTTGGCTAAGTATAATTAGCATCCCTGTGTAAAGCTATCTTTTCACTTCTGCTTACCACTTCAGCTTACGCAGTACTGCAAACCTAAGAAATAACATCTTGGGATGTGCCCATTAGAAGAAATTTCCCTCAAGTAATACATGTCTGAGAAAGACTTGAGGAAAATCTTCACGTTTTCCCCCAAACAAAACAGTCCATTAAGTTTTATGCCAAAGGCCTCATTTAAGAAAGCATATATCCTGAATGAGTTCAGGTGTAAGCTGAATGTCCAGTCTTCTATTCAGGAGTTCAGAAATTAATTTCACCTCGAAATTATTTCGGAAGTCCTGACCCCAAACAGAAATTCACAGGAGAACCACAACCACAAAGTCTTTCATTGCCAGGGGGCACTGGAAGATTTCAGCATGTCTTATCGCATCTCTATCGGGGAGAAAAAAGAAAAAAAGCCACAAAGCTTTAATCAAACACCTGAAATAAATCTCTCGCCAACCAACTGCCTCTATCTTTCTAATCCCATCTTACATTTGCATAAAGATATTGATGTGTGTGATGTGGATTCTGGAAATACATAGTTTTATCAATATCACTTGCTATCAACTAATAATGATGTGCAATTCTTCCTCAGACTTAATGAAGGCAAGACAAGGTGGTCATGGCAGTATTACCGGCCACCCGTACCATGGGCATCGTGTTCAGAAGGGCCTACAGAAGGCGTGCTGTGCTCTCAGCTCCCAGCGACAGCAGAACACCCATCGGTGACGACAGTACATACAAGAATAAACATCTAGGAAACCAAAGGCCTCAAAACCTGAAATATGCCACAGGAAGAAAAAAAAGGAGCTTAAGGAATTTGTCCAAACCTTGGTCCCTGGAACAGGAAGGAACCATTAGGTGAACACAGCCGTAGGACGCAATATCCCCAGGCTACATGGAAAGTGATAACCACCACCCCCTTCTCCAAATCTATCCAACACGGGGAATATTCTTGCCTGACCTCAAACCCGTCAGTCAACGTGACTCTAGGACGCAGGCCAGAGACACAAACCAGCCACCTGAGAGCGCTCCTTGGACTGCTCGAAGTACTGCGCCATGGCCAGTCTCTGATCAAAAACAGCCTTGAACTTCTACAGAAGCCATGGGAACATAGTCACAGACACTTCTAAGTCTCTTAAGACTGTGATGAAAAACTGATGAATAGATTCAAAATATTGCTTTGCCTTATTTGTTCAATGGGAAACGAAAAAAATCAGAAGTCTTTGCTCTGTCCAAGTGCGTGTGTGTAAATCTCCACAAAATTACTCTACTTTTGTACAAATTCCAGTATAATGCTTTTCCCTCACATGTTAATTGCCTCTAGAAAAAAGACTGAAAATTAAAGCTTTCCCTCACTGTTCATTCTGCAGAAAATACATGTTGCTTATTTACCATGCCTTGTAAAATAAACACAATAATTTTACATATCGATTTCTATGCAAACTATCTTTGAGTGCATGTTTTTTTTTCCTGTTCTTTTTGTTTGTTTGTGTGTTTGTTTTATGTTCGATTCAACCACTCTTAAACTGAAATGCAAAAATACAGACATGCAACAAACCTCAGAGATTAGCAAAAGTAGCGAGCCAAACAATACCAAAAATTTCCCTGTGTCTGAATCAAATTTCTCATTCTGCAGCCTTAGGAACATTCTCGCAATAACACCACGCCACTGCCACTGTTACAGATGGTCAACCCAACCTCATCTGCGGCAATTTTGATCGCTGCTGCCTCCTGTCGCAGACGTTGTCAAAGCAGAGGAAGTATTAATTACCTTGATCTTGTTAAGATTCTTATTTGCTGCTCAAATCAGTCTCTTGTGTGCTTTCTCCATAAACAAATTCAGAACAGATTGAGGCAGGGCAGCACTCAACTCAAACAGTTTTGCCTCCATTTGCTTTAAACGTAGATGTAAGAAAAATAAGAATTCTTTTCTCGATTCAG